ATAAATTAGAATATCTAAATATTTCTTACTGCAGAAATATTAGCGATAAATCTTTGTTTGAAATCACAGGAAATTGTCATGATTTGCAAGAGTTTTATTTTGCCAAAGCACATCAGATCACTGATAATTCTATAAGTTACATCTTAAACTCATGCTTAAATTTACGAAAACTTGATATTGCATTTAGTCGTGAAGATACCAAAGATGCTAATACTTTAATATGATGATGTTTTAATATAGAATATCTTGACTTTAGTGGTGCCATAGCTTTATGAAATGATAGATTAATTATAGCCATTATTAAAAGATCTCCAAATTTAAGACATATAGAAATCAGTGGTAATGATATTGATGATAAGGTTACTGAAGCGCTGGCTCATACTTATCATAAATTAGAATATCTCGATCTAAGTTACTGTTCTTTTGTCAGTAAGCTGAGAATGTCTCACTAAAAGGAAGTTTGCTGATTTTGAGATTGAGAAAACTAATTCTAAGGCTGAGTTTAAGGCTAGGATTGCTGAACTTCTAATATAGGCTATAGAAAAGAGTAAAAGACGTGATGTTAAGAATGCCAAACTTAAGATCAAAATTAAGAAACTAGAGAAAAATGAGACAGTTACCACTAAACTCGAGTTTGAGAATGCTAAGTTTAGAGATAGAATCACAAAAGTGAAACAAAAGCAGTTGCATAATGATAATTCTTCTAATGACAGTAACAACAGTTTATCTAACTTCAATTCAGTTGCAGATTATATTAGCAAAGTTAACTCACATCATGAGAAACCATTAGTAGATAGGGAAATAGATACTTCATTACTTGAAGAATCAATTTCAGAGGTGATTGCAGTATCAGTTATTAATATATCCGTTATGAACCAACATGATCAGACATCCTTAGAAGATAAGAAAAATTGGTATCATTGATAGATTTCCTGAAAACCAAAAATTAGATGTTAACAGAACTTTTAATAGCCAATGAAAGTTGATTAATAACCATATGATACTGATTGTACAAAATTGATCAATAAAAAAGCATTTCCAGTATTGAACTCTATAATAAAGCGCATCATTCACGAACGTCATCGACACCAAAGAGAAGAAGTACTTAAGAGAAATAAAGGAGATGAATTGAATGACTTTCAAAGGAGGAGGAAGCATGCTAACACACGTTATTATGAAGTAAGTAAACAGTCGGATTAGTTGTTAAAATAACTTTTTTTAAATTTTTTTTTTTAAAAAAATATTAGAAACGAGAACGACGAGCAAGAACTATTGATAAATGTATTAGATTAAAGGATCGTCTGGTTGGAAAATTTTATAATGATGAACTCCAACCAGTTCGAACTGATAATTGATATCATAGCCCAGAGGTTTCAGAAACTGACGATGAAAATCCTAATAAAAGAAA